TGCTTGGTGAGTTATCATCCTAGTTCTGATAGCTATCAGTTGCCAGCTTAGTTACTTAATGGTGTAAATGAGATCAAACTCTTAAATCTTGTGACAGAGAAAATTTTGGCTGTTGTGTGGTAAATGAGTGGAAAGGCTAATCCCGCTGGCCTCTTAATAATAGATCTGTGCTGTATTTTGTTAAGCTACCACGTGCCAAGAAGGCACCAAGCAGTTTTCACCAGCAGTTGAAGTTCTGGTTCAGGGAAAACAGGTGGTTTTAACTCTAAAATATCTCTTCAAATACCCAAGAGTTTGTTTTGGAATAAAATAGACTTACGAGACTCACAGAAATTTTGTGGCACTTGAAATGTTTGGAAACGTTAAGAGATATGTGATAACGTGTCACTCCTAAACTGCTTTAACAACATAAAGTGCATAATTTATAACCTAACATGTAAAATTATGCATTAAACCTATTCTTGCCATATAGAAGCACTGTTGTTAGGACTTTGAAGTATGCATTTCCAAGCATTTTGAAGACGTGGAAGAAAAACTTAAGTTATAATATCAAAAACTAGTGTCTGGTGTATTTCCGTAATGAAAAAAAATAGAGAAGCCTGGGTTTTCTACCAGCAAAATGGTGAATACACCTGATACTAAAGAGAACTGGCTACGTTCTGTGCTCTGTGCTATATCGGTACACTGGACACCAGGAAATGTATCAGAGGAGACTGGAAGCAGTTGGGGAATCCACGTGCCGTTGAGTCGTCTTGGTTCCTCAGACATTCGGGTTGCCTGGCTAGAAGCTTCCGAAAGTTCAGCACTTGACCGGAGTGGAGCGTTTGGTGATCTCTGCATCCGGTTTCAAATGCCTAAATTATCCCAGGCCGTAATTTCAGATCACAGTTAGGTTGACTTGACAGCCTTCTCCTCCCCGTCCTTAAGGACAGCTTGAACGGACCATTGCATCAATTAATGACATTTTGTGCCTGTAAATGCTGTAAATGCACCAGGCATTTGTAGGACCCTTAAAGATGGAAAAGAACTTATACAAATATTTGCCCCACCTGCCAATCAGCTGTCCTTCAGATGCTTTCGACCACAGCCCATTAGAGTCGGTCACCCGCAGGTGAGGGTCCTGGACATTACAAAGCGTACAGATGGCATGAAGCCCATTTCCTTTTCCAGAAAACATTTTGGATGTTGTCCTTCCCTGAAGAACAGGGAGGGAACATCGCAGTGTGTCTCTGTTACAGAAATAATCCCCACAGACTGGCTTTGCATAGATCTCCTACACTGATTTTTTTAAAAGTGCATAATGCAATATAACTCCACTCTTCTGAATTATTAATACTTTAGTCAGCATAGGGAGTTCTTTACTGGCCGGCAAATACTTCCTCCCTGAGATCAGTAAGCTTTTAGATTTCGGCCAATTCTTTGCTGCAGGACATCTTTAATTAAAGGCAACTAACTCAGTTAAATGCCTGTGAGTGTTCTGCCTGTGGCTTGCTAGATTAAGTTGAGTATGCTAAAATGATAGTGCACTTAGAATGTATCTCCTCTGTTGCTTCTAAAAGCTGCAAACTTAGGAAAGCAGTGTGATGTGGCATAAGATGATGCTGAAGCCACTGCAAAACTTACACTGAGTTTTCATGACACTGCCATTCATATTCTCATAACAATAGTTAAGCAAATATACCTGTCCCTCATATTGCATTTATGAACTTGATGGTTGATAATTTTGGGGATAGGCCGCTCGCCACTCTTTGGCTTACCCATACCATTGGTATTCCAGTATTGCATTGATGAACCTGATGGTTGATAATTTTGGGGGATAGGCCGCTCGCCGCTCTTTGGCTTACCCATACCATTGGTATTCTGTTGTGGTTGTGTTACTGTGGCGCTTCAATTTTCCACCAAGCTATCAAGACTAGAGTTAGGTTTTCATGTGTTAAGGCGCACACGTTTCTCTTGCAAAACACTGAAGTCGTTGGGTAAAATGCAATGAGCAGAGCCAGCCACTGCTGACATATTTATCTGCCCATGAACAGTAATGAAGAGAATCCTTTGAAGTCTTTTGGCTAGAGGCCTTTTGTGCAGTAAAATAAACAGTCCTCTCCCGCTTTGGTATTCCCACCACAGTAGGATACCTGTATCATTGGCGTGGATCTCCCCGCTCTTTAAAATATACAAGTAAATTTTGTAGCAAACGTCCTTCTTCATTCCCGTCATACCGGTTTTTAAAGAGCCATGCATTTGTGGTCTTTACTTCCTAAATAAGCGTCCAGTGTAAATATGTGTGTTATGCTAACTACTGTAGAGCAAATACATAGGAATCAAACACAGTACACCGAGTTCCATTTTAATGTACCCGTGCAAAAATAGCAGCCACGCTTTCCAAATGCCGTCTTTCTCTGTTGGTCTTGTTATGTGAACTCGACAGCTTACACATTTGCATTCATGGCAAGGGGTGCAGCTTGCTTAATTCTGGAGCCTTGACCCTTCATGGCTGCTTTGAATGTTTTATAACCAGAGGCTGTTGTCTGGGGTCACATGTGACTTCTTTACACTCCACCATAGTTTCGTATTTTTCTGATCATGTGGTTTTGATCCTCTGCTGTTGGTTTGGGAGCAGTCCTATGTGACGTGCATGGTATCTGGATGCAAATCACCTGAAGATCGAAGATCTCAGGGTGGTGAGCTGAACCTCATGGTGGGAAGCAACCAGTAGGGCTCAACCCTGGCACAGATATATAAATAGAGTTTGTGTCCTTTCCACTCTGCCCACCCCGCCCCTCACCAAACAAGTTATGGGCTGCAGCTTTCAATAGCTTGTGCTACTTAAATAACCTTTTCCTCTATGCTTGAGTATGGCCAACTAAGGTGGGCTATCTTTCAAGGGAATGATTTATGTCTCCGTTAGAGAAAGCAGTGCTTTTTAAAAGGCGTTGAATGCTAGATCTCTAAACTTCTTAGACCTCTCCACAATTTAATGTTTCCGATACCTATTGAACCTCAAGGAATTTGATTCTCTGCGGGACTCTGAGGGCTGACGTGCATGATGTTATTTTCGATAGTTTGTGGGTTGCTTTACCTTGTACCTGTACGCTAGTTGTGTTTTTTGTACATGAAATCCAAAAAGCAGCTGAGCGTGCAGACTGAGACGCCACTGGAAAGCATCAACTTTGTGAAGAGGGGACATTTCTCTGTGGAATGCCAGATTGGCAGTGGAGTCTTTGCACACACAACTCAGCCGTTGCATCCTCTTTGCGTGGCCTAGGCCCGTGTACTCCTGAATTCTGTAGACAGCAGATCGGTCCGTAGTTTTTCTGAATAGAAAAGTGCATTCAGATATTAACATGAAATGCAGCGTCAGTCTTAATTGTGAAGATGACAAGTACTGTTGAAACAATAAATAGTCATTTCTCATTTAAGGCCATGTTGTGTTTAAAGCTGCTTGATTTTGTAGGTTAGCTGGGGAAGTCTCATTTCCCCATCCCTTCTACTCAAAATGAACTGTATAGTTTACCTTTCTCAACAGATGACTTAGAATACTACAGTTTATACTTCCAGTTTGATGTTTTTCACCTATCCTTCCACCCGTCCCAGCCTCCACCCCGGCCGCCAAAATATGTGTTCACCATCCTGTTATTTTTGGATTCTTCTAAAGAGGTGATGTTTGCAAGGAGCAGTTTGCTCTCAGGCCCATAAATTTTAACCTAGATGTTCCATTCACTCACCCGGTTTTCTGTTTTCTCAAAGACAGAAAACCCTTTGGAGTCAAAGAAGGTGTTTTTTTTTGGCTTTTTCAAAAGGAAAATGCTCCCAAGCTCTTCTTGAACATGTGGACTGGGGTTCTTCAAGACAGACCACCAAGAAGCAGCTTGGTTGTACCCTGGATCAAATGCTTGTGTTTTGGAGCAGAGTTCTGATCCTTGTTGAGTGTGGAAGGGTTTGAAATCTTACCTTGCCCGCCATGTAAGAAAGAACCCTTGCTTTATGAGTGCATGTTGTATACACTGGGGCTCTGTCCTGCTTGCAACTGTTTGTATTCATTGGGATGCTAACAGCTTCCTTCACAAACAGGGTCTCCATGCAGCCCTTATGAAATGGATGGTGGCTCCCATTTTATGGTTAGGGAAACTGAGCCAGGAATCATTGCTTAATGAAAGCCACCTCGTCTGTGTGTAAAGTTCTCTTGGATTTGCTTCATGATTGTAAATATCGAGAACTGAATTGTCCATATATTTTGTGCTTGGGGGTGAAGGAGACTAATCTGCAGATACTATTGTCCTGTGCACGGATATTTGACAAATCTTTTTTCCCCCCTCCTGTAATATTAACACAGCTCATCCCCCACTTTTCCCTTCTTTGCCTTGTCCCTCTTTCCATCTTTCTAGCGGCGTGCTGTGTAGGGTAGACCGTGATGATTATGTGCTTGACTCTTTAAAAAAACCGCACGGGCTCAGCATCATGGGAGTCATCATGGTGGGACGGGTGTGCCTGGCATAAGCTTGTTTCTAAGGAAAGTAGCTGTTTTAAAACCTCCACAAAGTGGAGTGGTGCCAATTAACCCCGGAACAGTTGTCAAGGCCAAGGCATGGACGGGTCTGTCCATAGGGTGCATAAATTCCCACACCATGGGTCCCAGATTTTACCAACACAGACAGTGGTCCAGCCTCTCGGAGTTGTAGTCCATAAGCATCAGCACCTCCACATTGGAGAATGACTGCAATATCACTTTTAAAAAAAAAAAAAAAAGCCAGAAAACTGTTGAATTCTTACACAGAACTGTAGAAAATCATGGAGCATTTAACATTAAGTACACTTAACCCAAACACCCCATCTATCTATAACTTGGAAATTGGTCTGATTTGGCCTTGTTCTCATTGATGGATACTTCCAAAATGTTTATCTTTTCTTGAATTATTCTGAAAATGTATGTGTGCAAAGATACTCTTTTTTTAAAATAAAGCAAGGATCACTTTTGTTTTCTTCCTTCCTTCCCACTCTCCCAGGTATGGGGTCAGCCCGGAGAATATTATTCTGTATGGACAGAGTATTGGAACTGTTCCCACAGTGGACCTGGCATCTCGGTATGAATGTGCAGCTGTAATCCTTCATTCACCCTTGATGTCTGGGTTGAGGGTAGCTTTCCCAGACACTAGGAAAACATACTGCTTTGATGCTTTCCCAAGGTATGTGCAGAATCCTCTCCAAGGATGCCGTTCTCCATTGATAATGTTTTAATAGGATGTGTACCTTTAAAAAACAACAACGCCAAGCTAGACCATGGATATATTTTTTTCATTCAAGAGTAACTGGTGGTCTCAGACATGGCTGAGTGTCTGCGTTATGCTCTGTGTATGTGTTTGGGCTGTCAAAAAATGGTCTGTTCCGCCAGACTTTTTCTGTTCTACTTGTTGAGTCTTCCATTTTAATGCTTAACTAGAGAATGGTTTTATTTGTAGCCGCAGGGCGGGACGCATCATTTGCACGCAGCAAGGTTTCTAAGAACAACTTTTGGCATCTCCCTGTTTAAAGGCCTTTAAGTGATGGCCTAGAAACGACGTCTAAGAGTTTGGAGAGTTGCTACCAGCCTAAGTGAACTGAAAAGATTATGTATGAAGCAAACTCCAGACACAGCGTTGGTGGCCATCATGCTGGTTAATTATAACTGGCCTTTTTTCAACTGTGGGTTAGCTTTGCCAAGCCAAGGACTTCGACATTCTCCCAGTAATCAAAGAACCTCAGTGTTTCCACTGTAATATCCTTTTGGAGTCTCCTTCTATAATACTGTGAGACATAATTTTATTTCTTTCCCACTGGAGTTCAGTCAGCGTCCTGCATCGTTCTGACTCGGGATGAAGTGCTTCTGAACAGTGATGCTGTATGTCTTCCCAAATCAGTTTAAGGTTTCTCAAGCAACAAGTAATGTCATTTCCTGAACTTGTTTCTTTTATTTCAGAGGATCAACTCAAAACTCTTGTACATCATTTCTAGGCCATCTGTGCTTTTCATTTGTTATGTGGCTGAAATATTGACTTCCTGGATGATATTTGCTTTATGATTTTTTTTTCATTTACCTTATAACTTTTTTTTTGGCTGATCCACCTCTTGATTCAGGAGATTCTTTACTGTTTGCATCTAGTCTTTGGAAATTTTCTTTGTATCCTGCAGACAGCAAGAATGTAAGCTTCCTAGTGATGTGTTGTTTCCTTTAATAAGGAAGGGGAATCCGTAGAGTGGTGACTGAAGGGGACAGGGGGCTACAGAGAGAAAGGGGCAGTAAACAGCTTTTCTTTAAGTGGCATTGCTCTTGAAGCCGAGTGTGATGATGTGTAAATTGCCTGCCGCTTGGAACAGTGGTTGCATCTAAGTCACTGCTTGGTTACAACAACCAGTGTTTACTCCCTAGCAGGTGCCCATCTCAATAAGAACAAAGCAGATTGTTCTTACAAACTAGGTAAAACCACTTAGAACAAGGCATTTGCTGCACCCTTCACGTGGGTGAATTAGTGGCGTTATCCAGGGCCCAGATGTTCTTCAACCTCAGCTTCTCAGTGCCCTGGCCAGCACAGAGAGTGGGCAGGCTTTACCTGAGTTTGTAGTCCAAGAACATCTGGAGCCCCAGATTTGGGGACCCCTGCGAGATGTTTGCAGTATGTTTGAAAGCACTGACTTCAAACACCTCGTAGTCCTAAGGCTGAAAAGATTCGGTGCTACAGGATCCACCACATTAAGAATCAGCTGCTTTTAGCATCAGAGCTACAGCTGTATGGAAGATTATAACGGAACAAGTGGGTTAGCTTTGTACAGCACAATTTCTCCAGGTATGGTGTGTGTTGCTTTGGGTTAGACTAAGCCCAACCCACCAAATCCCCCATGCATGAACTTCTTTTTAAAAACAGTTGCAAATATTTACAGCATGACGAATTCTTCCTTTGAGCATCCAGGCTTTTGAAGCATATTTCTCAGGCTTGGAAGAAAGCTTGGGCGAAAGGGAGCCAAATCAAATAGCAGATCAAAGACATTGGGGATAGAAACTGGCATAATATATCCCTTTTTTGCAGTCCGTGGCACTGCTTCCCACCAACAGTCTAAAATTGCTTTGTGTGTCAAGGGTTTGAGCGCTTGCATGAATGCCAGTCCACCTCGTCAGAGAGAGAAATTGTTCCTTGTAGGTTACACAGAAATCTTTTGTGTTGGCTGATGGTGGGACTCTATCAGAACGTAGTCCCGGTAGATTCCTCTCGCTGCAGTGCAGTGTGGTTCAGAATACCAAGTAAGGCTAATCTACCCTACAAACGCCACCCGGCTGAGCCGCTGAGTTACAAATATTGTTTTTCTGGAATGCCTGACTGGGGATGAATGACCGTAATTATGCACAGACTACAGTGGCTCCCCCCCCCCAACTTTCCAAAAGGAGATAGGACCTACAATATCTTCTTAGCCATTGACAGATCTGTGAAAGCGATCTGCCTTCATGACACAACACAAGAAAAGTGTGAGTGTGTAGGAGTGTCTGGCTTGTAGAGGAAATCTAATTTTAAAAGATAAGTTAGCTCCACGTATTTGTTTTTCTAACACTGCACTGTTTGTTTAACTCGGAAGCAGGCAACCCATACTCTGTACGCCGGCCACAGGGCCACCACCCATTTCTGCAGATCCCAGAGTTAAAAATGTTTATAGAAAATGAAAAACCAAACAAACACTGAGAATTGTTCTCCCAAAAAGCCTCGGGGGAAGTGCCGCTTTCCCTTTGATCCTGTTGCATCCACGCCTTCTCCTGGTGCCTTTTTTTGAGGCGGGGGCGGGGGGGAGTGTTGAGAATGGCAACCGGAAACTACAGCCGTGGCCATTTCCAGTCATGTTGGGTGGGATGAGTGGGGACCATGTTGCTTCCGGAAGAGGGTACAAAAGTTGGTTGAATTGTTTTCAGCCCCTCACTCCATGCTCGGAGAAGGCCTGCTTCAGAATTCGACAACAAGGTGTGTGTCCAAAGATCTGTTGTTGTTGGTTTGATTTGTTTTATTAGAAGCCCATCAGATGATCCCTTGCCAACCACAGGCCGATTCTTGAAGTAGACCCAGCCTTCCTTTAAATCCCAATGGGAAACCCTTGGCAGAAATAAATGGACATTTCCTTCTTTCCTTCTAGTGGATACACCTGTATTGGTAGCAATCTAGGGACCGCAGAACTGAATGTCCGTCCGCGCTAAACGAATAGCGCCATCATATCTTTGTTCTGGTTTCAGAGGGGGCTCCAGTGAATTAGCTGCTACATCTGTTCTCCACAGTAGGAGTTGCCAATAAATGTGTTAACGGCTTCTAAAATCTAGACAATGGTGTAAATTAGAGATGGGGATATTCATATCCGTTTACGAATATCTCCATCTCCGGCGTAAACCCTTTCCGACTAGTGGCCAAGGATAGCCAGCTTTGACTTGGTGCCACAGAGCCTGTGCGTATTACACATGTGTCTGAATTCTGTTGTAGGGCATGTGCTGTTCTTTCCCCGGTGACCTCCAAGTGGTGCTACAGAAGATGTCTGATGCTCCCTTGCTTTTATTGTTGTTAGGAAACATGGGTAGACATGAGGTTCTCTCTCTCTGGAGCTGTCTTCTAGTTGTGATCTTCTCCTTGAACAGTTTGGGGGATCTAGTCCGTCCTTGGTCCCCCACTGAAGGAATCTTGAGGTTTTAAAACCGGCTGTGTGTAAGTAACTGACCTGACGGTAATGTTTCTCTTGGTTTTCTTTCTTTCTTTAATTTCCTCAGCATTGACAAGATCTCTAAAGTAACCTCTCCTGTTTTGGTGATTCACGGTACCGAAGATGAAGTCATAGATTTCTCGCACGGTTTGGCGATGTACGAGCGATGCCCCCGAGCCGTGGAGCCCCTTTGGGTGGAAGGAGCCGGCCATAATGACATAGAGCTTTATGCACAGTATCTCGAACGACTAAAACAGTTCATATCTCATGAACTCCCAAACTCCTGAAGAAACCCACTTGATTTCTGGCTTTGTCCTTTTTTTCTTTTTCTTTTTTTTTAACCTCGGTTAACTGTGAATGGAAGAATTTATCTGTTTTTGCACACGCATTAACTGGATTAGTTGTAATAGCTTTATACTATGAAGCAATGCCCTCGCGTTTGGAAGGACCCAATCCTGTCTTGACTGTCTTTTTATATCAGGAAACCATTCTAACAGCCACTGCTGTAATCCCCGATTTTTTTAAAAACCTTCTTGTCTCTAGAAGCGTTAAACCTGTCACCTGTGGAAGGGAAAGTAGCTGAATATGAAGATCCTGCTTTAACCTAGAGTGATTTAATACTTCCAAACTCTCTCCTATCCCACCATTCAAGTTGATTGTCCTACGTTTCCCCCCCCCCTTTAAATAAAATCTCCCCCAATCTGGAACACAGGCGATCTGAAACACAGCTTTCTACTTGATTTATGGGTTCAGTCGAAGACCATCAATTCTCAATGTCACATTTCTAGCTGTGCTATTATAACTGGAAAGGGGTTGGGTTTTCTTTTCTTTTGTTTTTTTTTTTGGTGGTGAGTTCTCATTGTGTTTTGAAGGAATATATATATTTTAGGGCAGGGCAATACCCCCTTCCTAAGTTAAGGAACATTTCCAGGGTTACACTCATTGCTCATTGGAGCGAATTCTAAACCATTTCATCAGTTTTCTGCACATTTAGAAAAAGCAAATGTTCTTGAAGGAATAATGACTACATAGCGGAACACTTTAATTATGCTTTACTTTTAAAACTGTGTAAATTTGATGAGCCCCATTCTTCAAATCATGTCTGAAGAAGAGCCAGCGCTGGCGTTTACTTGTGTAAAACATTCCTTACGGACGTTTTTAAAAATATTGTATATACGCGAATTTACATTATGCATAACTCTTGATTGGTAGTTTTAAATTTAAGTCTAGTTAACAAATTCTGGTTTGTATATGAATACGTTTTGTTATAAGTTTTTATCCCTGCGTTATTTTGCTATTCAAATTTTTATAAAATTTCCAGGATAACTGAACAACAAAAAAAAGTTATACATTGGTTTTTGATGGATTTATGTAAGAAACTTTCATTGAAACTGATCCTTTTTTTTCTGTTTTGGGAAACGATTTTCCTTCTCTGACACTGGAATCGCACAGAATATGCAAGACACTTAAAATCATTAACACTACAAGGCCTGGGTTTTTCCCAAATTGAAGGGCCTTAAATGTACTGTAAGCCTCCGATTGTTGTTTAAAAAAAAAGGATTGCGATTGATTATGGTTTGTGTATTTGTTGCCTGAATGCAACAACTGTGGTTGTAATGGAATAAAGGATGCATGGAATAGAGACAGTTGAGCTGTGCTTTGCTTTGCCCTGCAGTCAAGTTGTACCAAAGCTACGCAAGAAATAACATCTGGCAAAACTCTTTCACATTAGTGACTACCAAACGGCAAGGGCATGGGATGGGGAGGTGTTCGTGGGTTCCGACGTTCTTATGTTACAATAGAGGTTGCCAAACTCAACGCATGTTATGCTGTTAGACTTGAACGTCCAAAAGCATTGACTGTGGACTGGGCTGGCTTGGAATTCTGGGGTCTCCATCTCGGGAACATCTGGATTCCCCAAGCCTGCTACCAGTCTGTTGTAGTCCAGGGTACTGGTTATAAACCTTGAAAGTCCTGCCTGCAGATTTCTGCTGAAAATTTGGGAAAGGCCTAGTCATCCTTCTGCGGCATCTCCAATCCCTCCCTCAACAAGCTGCATCAGGCTTTACGGATCCGTGCTCTGCCTTCAAAGAAGCCACTTCTGCTTGCTTCCTTCTGCCCCAGCCCAGTGGCATCTAAACACTTCCACAACATCAGGGCTGCTAGGTGACTCCTGCGCGTGCTGTGTAACCACATCATTTTGTACCCCAAGATCTGCCCTAGAACTAGTAGTCCTGATTGCAGGGGATAACATCTGCAGGGGTCCCGAGGCTGGAAGCCGCTTCCCTGGAATGTGTTCGTTTTTGGCCACGACGTTCAGCAAGTAGTCAGCGTCGGGAAGAAGCCACCGGTGGCTTTTGATCTCCAGAACCTGTGCCACACACCTTCCTGTGGCCGATCTTTGCTCAGATAGTTAATCGGTGACTTCTTACAACCCTCCGCTTGATCCTTGTGGATCAGTGTGGCCCCCACGTTGTTTCCGTGACAGGAGTGCCATCAACTGTGAGCAGACATGGCATTCCCTCGAACTGATTTCGTGAGACAACGGAGTGAAGTATTTGAACATTACGTTGCATCTTCATTTTGGAACAAGAAAGATGAAAATGGATTCCTTTTAATCCAGGGGTCTCTCACTGAAGTGATCTGGTCTTCAGATTATCCCGAAGAGTTTGAAACTCATGTCTATTTTCTTTTTCTTACTCTGGATTTATTTTCAAAATACATCAACAGGATCTCAAGGGCCCTCTAACCCAGCAGTTCACAACCTTGGGTAACTCAATTATTCTTATACTGCCACTCCCAGAAAAAAAATATGACTTAAAGCATCTGGCTAGGTTTTTAGAATTCCATTCCTTCCCAGCAAGAAGAGCTCTTTTTTATTATTATTTTGTTTTAGGGGTTGGGTGTAGGGATGGGAAAAAAAATGGGGTATGGGATACACAGAGGGTGGAAATGAACATAAACATTTTAGAATACTCATTATCGTGTGTTACATTTCATAGGTACATATGTTCCCGGTAAAACTTAAGTTACAATATACATTCTATTTCTAAATTGATCACAGGCTTTCTATGATCAAATATTAATTTGCACTCTTATTTCTGAGCCAGTCATAAAATTTAAGCCAACAGTCCTCGTGTTTCGTCTTTCCTGTCGGATCTAACCATTCGGATAATTTATCCATTTCTGCTGTGTCCAGGATTTTTTTTCTGTTAACTTGTCTACGGGACTTTCCAGTGTTTAGCAAAGAGGGTTCTTGCAGCTGTCAAGATATGGATGGCTAAAGAAGATATCGTTGGTTCTATTGAGTCTGGAATTCTGTTTAGAAGGAAAAAAAATTGGGAGTTACAGTGATCGGACTCTCTAGATGAAGACCTCTTTTGAAGCTGAAAGTTTGCATGGTTTGGGGGCCATTGCCAGTTTGCTCTGCCAAGGGTAATCTCAGAGCGAGGGAGATCATCCAGTTTGGATGTACTTCTGATCTTAGCCACTAACCTTTATTTTTGGCATCAAATGAGTGGACTTTGGCTATGATAAATTCTTACATCTATGGAAGGGCTGACTTGTGTTTTTGTTTTGGGTTTCCCTGCCCCCCAAGAAATGACCGAAAAAAGCAACATCACATATCTTTCCACTACTGTAGAACTATTATGGAGATGTACCCGCTGGAAAGCCCCCCCCCACCTTTGTTTCGACAACTTTATTTGAGCTGAAGTGTATTTTTCCCCCTCCACGGAAGTTCCCAATGAAATAAATCTCTGAAGTCTTAAAGGTGCCACATAATTCTTGGATTTACCTGAAACAAGGGAAGGGAAGGGAAGTTTAGAGTTGGTTCTGTTGACACCCAGCTTCTTCTACCACCTTGTCTCAAGGAATGGAATAAGTAACGCATCCCAGATTATTATTATTATTATTATTTAAAAAGGGTAGTTTTGGAAAAGTCCAAGAGGTGAGTATTTGATGCATCCCAATGAGGAATGATATTTATCCAAGTGCTTGGGTGTTGGAAAGAGAGTTAGGGGGTATGATAATCAAGTCAAAAATCTTTTTTTTAAAAGATTTAAAATAATTTGTTTTTACTTTTTTGCTAAGCGGGCGCGAAGGAGGGAGGTGGACGCCTTTTACTCACCTCTTTAAGAGGGCATCCTAAATTTAGACCTTAAGGGGGAAAACATCAGTTGAATAAGGTTCCACCGCGTAGTCGCTGCGGCTTCGCGGGGCCGAGTTGAGCCGCTTTGGGGTGGGAGCGCGGCTCTTCCGCCGGCGGCCGCGTAGCCCTTCGCTCCGCATTGACTTCCTCGCGGGGTGGGGGGATCCGCCAAAGTCAGACACAGAGAGGGGTTCCCATCCCCGGAGAAAAGGCACTGGCAGACCCCCCCTTTCCC